GCAGCAGGGCTCAAAGTCAAGTGGGAGAAATGTCTCTTGGGGGTGCCACGCATTGAGTTCCTGGGTTTTGTGGTCGACGCTGCGGGCATCCATCCCACCACGGACAAGGTGACCGCCATCACGCAAGCGCCACCTCCAGTGTCCAAGTCCGAACTGCAGGCCTTTTTGGGGCTCCGCCGGGAGGGTTTGGCAATGGTGGCGGGGGTGAAAAAGTTTCACCACTATCTGTACGGGCGGCCCTTCACAGTCCTCACGGACCACAAGCGGCTAATGGGCCTCCTGGCCCCCGACCGCCAGACCCCAGAGATGACTTCGCCCCGGGTTCTCCGCTGGTCTATTTTCCTGGCGGGATACTTTTACGCTCTTGTCCATTGCCCTGGCAAGGCAATGGGCCACGTGGAGGCCCTGAGCCACCTGCCGCTGCCGGTCTGTGATGACTTTTGATAGGGTTCAAGAATCACACAGCACACAGAACTTAGGTACAAGCTCTCTGAACAGCTCAGTTCATCTCTCTGTCCCAACTGATCTCTCGAACTGCCTGTCAGCAGCGTTTTATTAACAGAAAGAAAAACCAGCTCATTCATTTGTACAGTGTTACATTATGAAGCTTCTATGTTAGGAATACAGAATGTTCTTCTCACAGGCAAATCATCCTTAAAAGTTGCAAAGCTTGTGTGCCCTCAACAATTCATTGCTCTACAGTAAAAAAACAGACTTATGCAGACGCAGCAAAGAATATGTCCTGCTTTGCCAATTCTCCCGGCAGAGTAGTATCTCTGTGGGAATTCGAACTTTGACCTGGGAAGCCTGAACTTTGACCTCGGGTTTGCCTCACAAGGTTTCCGATCAGACCTCCACAGGTCTGTGACCCAGATCCGGCTCCCGCCCACCAGATTGCTCTCCTGGAGTCCCTTCCGGATCAGCCGGTCCACGTCACGGAGGTGGCTCGCGGCACCTCCAAGGATAAGGTACTTTGCCGGGTCTTGGACTGGGTGGTGAGGGGGTGGCCCGCAGCCAAAGGAGACCCTGACGTAACGCCCTTTGCTTCCCGGAAGGACAAGTTGTCCGTCCACCAGGGCTGTGTCATGTGGGGTAGTAGGGTGGTTATCCCAAAACCACTACGGGAGCGGGCCCTCACTGCCCTTCACGAAACGCACCCCGGGGTGGTGCCATTGAAAGCCTTGGCCCGGAGCTACTTCTTGTGGCCGGGGTTTGTGGTGAAGCGGTGCAACCCCTGCCAAGCATCCCGGCCCGAGCCTCCCCGAGCCCCGGAACGGGCCTGGGAGTCTTCTCACCACCCTGGTCCCAGTTACACTTGGACTTTGCAGGACCTTTCCAGGGGCAACTCTTCTTTATCCTGGTGGATTCTTTCAGCAAGTGACTGGAGGTAGTTCCCGTGCCCTCCACCTCCTCGAAGGCGGCCATCCGGGCGATGTGGCGGAACTTCAGCGCCCAGGGAATCCCCGACATGCTGGTCACGGACAACGAGATGGCGTTCACGTCAGCGGAGTTCCAGGAATTCACAAGCTACTATGGAATCCGCCATGTCCAGGCTGCCCCGTTCCACCCTGCCACCAACGGCCAGGCCGAGCGCATGGTCAGAACCACAAAGGATGCCCTCCGCCACTTGGACTCCCCAGACTGGGATTATAAACTGGCGACTTTCCTTTTCGGCCAGCGCACAACACCACACACCACTACAGGGCGCAGTCCGGCAGAGCTACTTCTGGGCCGCTGCCTGGCAACCCGGTTGGATCGTCTGCCCCCCGACTGGGCATCGACAGAGGCACCGAGCATGGAGACGCACGAGGCAGCCAGGGGTTTCTTCCCGGAAGATCCCATGTACACACAGAACTACGCCCGGGGGCCCACCTGGATCCCGGCATGAGTCATACGAGTTAAGGGCCCCAGATCGTATGAGGTCTCTTGTGAGGACGGCCAAGTTCTACACCAGCACATCGACCAGCTACGCCGCCGGACGATGCCATTGGATCCTGAGGACTCAGACATGGCCGAGGTTCCAGAGACCTCACCCCAGGCCCAACTCCCGGTGGCCGACCCCTGGCCTCTACCCTTGGTTGAACCCGAGACACCTCTTCTGGAGGCACTGGGGATGCTGGCACCGCCACCCCCAATGCCTCTCTCAGCCAGCCCGCCTCCAAGGGCTCCGAGGGCTCCCAGGGTAGAAGCCGCAGCAGTCCCGGAACCTCGCCGCTCTACCCGCACCAGGAAGTTACCAGCCCACCTGAAGGACTTTGTCTGTGGGTGCATTGCGGACCAAGGGGGGAGAGGTGTAATGTATCCAGTCCTGACAAGTCCAGACAAGTCCAGAGACAAACATTGAGCTTCGCTCCAAGAGAAAATGGACTATGCAGATCCCAGCCCGCTCCAATCAGGGGGCTAGATTCCTGGCCGAGAGCCAATGGGACTCTCGGCCACTGTAAATAACCTATTGGGAAGTGGGGGTGTGTGTTTTGGGTGGCAGTTTCTCGGGGAATATAAGCCGGCCTGCGAGCCGGCCAAAGCTGTATTGTTCCTGATTGAATAAAGTACGCTTTGTTGAAATCACTCTCCGTCTGCATACTTTTCAGATCTAAAGGTAATGTCCAGGCACAAACATATGGGAAATGTCCCTCTTCCATGGACATCCTATTTTGCCACGCTTCAGAGCCATACTTAAAAGATAGCACATTAAATCTGGGGGGTTTGGTTACCTGTGGGACAACTAAAGACTTTCACCTGTCTGATCATTCCACCAGTGCGCAATCCTCCAATCGGGTGGTCTATCATCAGACCATCCCTAGCAGGTGCCATTTTAAAAAATCTCTACACATGCACGGATCAAGGATGTGCTGTCACGTCTATGTGCATCCGTAAAACGTTTTTTTTAAAAAAACACTGTGCGCCTCCTTTAACAAGGATGCGCTGTGATGCCTATGGACATGCACACAAAGTTAAAAAAAACCACCGCGCATGCCTCCTTCAGTGGATGCCCTCTACACAATCCACAATGGAGGCAGCGCGATTCACCAGGGGGGTGTCTGGTCGTGCTACGATGGATTAAATAGATTGGGATAAAGTTCAAGATGGCATAATGACGGGATTAGCTGCCCATCTGAATGCACCCTGAGAAAGCAGAAAGGAATGGTATCCAATTCCGTTCAGAAGCTCAATTGAGGAATGTCACTAGAACTTTCTGGTGTGTGAGGGAAGGGCTTTCTGTGATAGTTGCAGGGGACAGAACATTACTTCATTGAAGATGATCTGGAAGTCAAGCTTGATTCTCTAGAAGGTGGCCAGATTGCCCTCTCGATAATACTACGAATCAGCTGTGGAGAATATAGGAAGACTACTTAGAAGTGGTTGGATTTGCAATGGTGTGGTGAAACCATCACCTGGACTCTCATGAGAGCCCTGTGAATGACCCATGGCAGTTCCAGGCTATTATAATAACTTAGAGAACTTCTCCAAGATCCCCAAAAACTTGCTACAGCCGCTTATGAAGGAAATCAGAAGGTTTTATTTGCATATATACCACAGGAGACCAATGGCTAGCCCTCCAAATATTAACTGTTTCTTCACTGTAACTAGCCATTTGTTACTTTGTTACATAATTGTTACATAAACGACATTGTTACATAAATAAATAAATATAAATAAATAAATAAATACTGGCCCCAGTCACACGGGAGGATTTGCCCCGCAAAACGGACAGGTTTAGGGCGGATTAAACCGGTGTGATCAGATGCCAACATCTGGGAGGCGTCGCACACCCGCCCCCAACCCGTCCCTTCCAGCCAAAGATGCGGATCTAAAAGAGACTAGTGAAAGGGCATTACCTACCGGATGACGCGCAGCAACAGCGGCCGTGGGATCGCCGACACGCGATTATCCCGTGGTATGTGTGGTAAGGGCAAACTGCACATGTGCACAACTGCTGTGGCTGGCCCTCCTTGCCCTTCTTAGCATTGCTTCCCCTGCAGCATGTGATTGCGGCTGCTGGCAGAAGCCCAGAGCCTGGGGGGACCTGTCTGATCCCGCTGACATGCTTCTGTTTGTTGCAGCTCTAAAAAACTGCACTTCCCCCATGGCTTTTCCCGCTCATGTGACCGGGGCCACTCTTTACCACGCTGAGAAAATGGCAAGTGTGGAAGCAACCACACCTCCTTGTCCCATAGAGGGAGCCTTCCCAGGGCAAGCCAAGACAGATGGCCTGGTGACCCAAGGTTCATCTCACAGTGTGTTTCACAAATGGCTTCAAATCAGTTTGTCAAATGCATCTGTCCTCTTTCATTGCCTCTTGGCCATCACTACCTCCTTAAATTTCCTGGTGAAGACGGTGACAGCGACCTGTCAGAGGTGGCTAGAAAGGAGATTTTACAAGGTGTGGATTTTCCCATAATGGTACTGAAGTGAAACCTGGCAAAATTTAACCTTCTCTGCATGTCTTAAGGGGATTGGAGCTCAGGGGCTTCCATTGCTTCCAAAAGTTCTTCCCTAGTTTCAGGCTTTTTGTTCTGTTGATCCTCAGCCCTGCCTTTCTCTTGGGCCCTTCTTTGACTCCACACTTTCACCACATATTCCTCTTCCTCTGGCTTCCCGGTTGGTTAATCCTTCTTCTTTCAGCCACCCTGGGCACTTCCTGCTTGCAGAGGCCTGCTTCTCCTCAGGGATCAGGCATCTCTCTTTACGGCCAGGACTTTTCAGAACATTTTTGTTTTTAGGACCTTGTGGTTATAATTTCAGCTGGGAGACTGTCTTCCCTCAGTCCAGTTTGTTTTCCTGTTTCAACCGAGCAGAAAATCAGAAGTGGTTTTTAACACCTAAATGTCGCTTGTTCCAGAACACATTTTTAACAATTAACCAGTAGATAGATATTCAGAAATGCCTACATCCGTGTCAGAAATATTCCTTTTTTTCATAACTTAATCATCTTCATTCTTTGTTTCCCCCTAAAGTAAGATTTACGACAAGAGTGTATCATGCACCGTAGGCTCTTCTCACATCTTCTGGAGGCATGTGCTTCTGCCCAGGGATTTCTTGAGTGCTACTTGGACATCTTTGTTTCTCAGGCTGTAAATGACAGGATTCAGCATTGGAGTCAACAGTGTGTATGTGACAGAGATCAACGTGTCCTCATTCAAAGTGTACCTGGATTGGGGCCTCAGGTAAATAATTGAAGCGCATCCAAAATGTACAACCACCACAATAAGATGGGAAGCGCAAGTTGAAAAGGCTTTGCGCTTCCCATCTGTGGTGGGGATTTTCAGGATCATGTTTAAGATTAAAAGATACGACAGGAGGATCAGAAAAAATGAGCAAGAGACCATTAAAATACAAATAAGAAAAATGACAATTTCTCCAATATAATTATGGCCACAGGCCAGCTGAAGTAAAGGTGCTAAATCACAAAAGAAGTGATGGATTTTATTCGGCCCACAGAATGGCAAGGTAAAAATGAAATATGTTTCCATTGTGGAAAAAAGAAAACCTGTTGTTACTGAAAAGACAACCAATTTAGTGCAAAATTTCTGATTCATCAGAATCAGGTAATGTAAAGGTTTACATATGGACACATATCGGTCATAGCCCATCACCGTGAGAAGCATGCAGTTTATGTTTGCAAAGGCCAGGAATATGTACATCTGAGTAGCACATCCAATTAATGAAATAGTTGCTGTTTTTTTAAGAAGATTTGCAAGCATATTAGGGATAATGCTGAACGTATAGCAGGTTTCTGAACTGGAAAGCATCGCGAGGAAGAAGTACATGGGGATGTGGAGGTTGGCATCATGCCTTATGGTCGTAACGATGATGATATTCCCAGCCAAAATAGCCAAGTACATAACGGAGAACACCACGAAAAGCGGGATCTGCAGGTCTGAGAAGCTGGAAAAGCCAATCAAGATGAATTCTCTCACCGTGCTTTGATTTCCTTGTTTCATTGGCGTAGCACCTGGAAAGAAACCATTCCACTTTGACAAATTTGTAAGACTGTCAGTCAACTGATGCTTTGTATCAGTGATACTCAGTGGCTTGGGAGACCCATGAAGCTTTTTGACACATGACCTGGGGCTGTTCAGGGTATTATTCCCTGACGTGGCACCAGCCCCTTGTTTCCAGAAAGCGATCAAGTCCCTTGCTTGGCGAGGCTTATAAGTTGGCAACTGGTTTCCAACTCAAAACTGCCACTTTTAAGGAACTGGGTAAGCTGTGAGCATTGCTGAGCTGCAGGCCTCGTGCCCAGGATAGAAATAAATTTGGCTGTTTGGTTTGATTGTAATGGCCAGAATGGCCAGGCCCATAGTGATGGTGGGTGGGGCTATTTGTGGCTCCGCCCCCTTTCTTAAAACTATTTGGGAATAATTTTTCCAGTAATATACTTTCTCTGCAGCCGTAAAACTGACTGCAAGGTAAATTGCAAAGTAGAAGATGTTTGGATAATAACGGTTCCAATGTAATAATGAATTCCTGTCCATGGGTTTAGACAACCCCTTTCCTTATATGATGGAATTATCTGTATACACCATAATATCCAAAAATGGAATATTCATATGGATCAAACTTAATGCGTGGACTTGCAGAATGCATCCCGTAGACCATCGCTCCCACATTTAGACAACTGTGTTCTGTTTGGGTATCTCAAAAAGGGCATTGCTGTGTTGGGATTGATTATAACCAGGTATTTATTTGGATTTAGGCTTGAATTAAAAGCTGTGGTGGCTCAAGTGGTTAAGACGCTGAACTGCAGGCTGTGGAAGGTCAGTAGTTCAGCAGTTCAAGACCCGAGTGTGCCACATGACAGAGTGAGCTCCCGTCTCTAGTTCCAGCTGCTGCCAACCTAGCAGTTCGAAAGCAAGAAATTGCAAGTAGATAAATAGGTACCACTTCAGTGGGAAGGTAACAGCGTTCCGTGCGCCTTGGTGTTCAGTAATGCCGGCCACATGACCACGGAAATGTCTGGACAGCGCTGGCTCTTCGGCTTTGAAACGGAGATGAGCACCGCAACCCTAGAGTCGGATTTGACTGACTTTTGAGCAAGGGAACCTTTACCTTTTTAGGCTTGAATTAATTATAAACCTTCATAGGAGAAAATCCAAATACTTGTCTCAGCTTTAATGGCAGGACCAATTTAAGTATATCCACCCTGCTTCTAAATGCATTATGGCAAGGAGTAGAAACATAAGATACTCCCTTTGGGGTCGTCAGTGTGGAGGTAGGGCTGGTTTACAAATTACAATTTCTACAGCAATAGTAATCCAGCAAAGAAAAAATTTATTTGACAGTGTAGGGAGTAGCTCTATTCACAAGTTAATTATGTTGTATTCATAGCATGGTAATCATAACATGGATCCATGTGGCTAGATCAACCAGATCAAGGTGGTGGACAATCTTAAGAACATAATAGAAGTCATGTTGGATCAGGCCAGGGGCCCATTAAGTCCAACACACTGTGTCACACACTGGCCAAAACCCATATGCCATCGGAGGCCCACCAGCAGGGTCAGAACTCTAGAAGCCCTCCCACTGTTGCCCCACCAAGCACCAAGAAGGCAGAGCATCAATGCCACAGACATAAGAACAGAAGAGAAGCCATGTTGGATCACGCCAATTGCCCATCCAGTCCAACACTCTGTCTCACAATGGGCCAAAAGGCAGGCACCATCAGGAGGTCCACCAGTGAGGCCAGAACTCCAGAAGCCCTCTCACTCTTGCCCCCCAAGCACCAAGAGTACAGAGCATCACCGCCTCAGACAGAGTATTCCATTTATACCTTGTGGCCAATAGCCACTGATAGACCTCTGTTCTGTATGTTTATCCAGTCCCCTCTCGAAGCTGTCTACCACTTCCTGCGGCAGTGAATTCCACGTGTTAATTACTCTTTGGTTGAAGAAGTACCTCCTTTTATTTGTTCTAATCCTACTCCTCATCAATTTCATTGAGTGCCCACGAGTTCTTGTACCGTGAGAACGGGAGCTAGGATGAAGATGCCCAAGTTGGCAGAATGCCTTTTTTGGAAGCTGCATTAGCTTTCTTCTCCAGGAGTAAAGCTGTATCGAGTATCACCCTAACTCTCTTTATGGGCTCAACCACAGAGAGCTGGAATCCTTCCCAACCAACATTGCCTCCATCTTGTTGGGATTCCATTTCAGCTTGTTTGCCCATAGTCATATAACTGCAGCTGTCAGACACTGGTTCAAAGTTGCTACCACCTCACCAGGCAATTTGCATGAAGAAATGTAGAGCCTGGTTTCATCGGCATATTGAAGACGCCGTGTTCCAAAATAATGGATGACTGAAGATGTGGCAGGTCCTTCATTGTAAACAGCTTGTCTCCAACCACTATTCCCTCTGAGCTGAGTTAGTGTGAGCTAGCTCACAGTTTTAGTCTCCAGGAAGGAGGTCTCCAGAGCAAACTAATTTATGCAGTAGCTGAATCGCTAGCTCACAACTTTAATGCCCGTAGCTCAGCAAGTAAACGTTTTGCTCACAAGACTCCACAGCATTGTCTCCAACAGTAACTTCCTGAGTCCTGTCCATAAGGAATGATTGAAACCCAATCTAAAGCACATACTTCTATCTCCAAACATCTTAACAGGGTGGCGTCGTTCACCATATCAAAGGCCGATGAGACGTGTAGTAAAAGCTAGAGAGGCGTAACTTTTGTCTGCATTTAGACAGAGATCATCCACTAGGACAACCGCCCCATCTTATTCCCATAGTGAGGCCTGAAAATGCTATTTGCTTGCAGACACACTAGCTCTGACTTTGATAGCCACACAGATGTTTTTTGGACCTTAATTACAAAAATATGTAATCTTTCCTTAAAATCTGCCTCCATTCCTGAGGACTGGAAGATAGCTAATGTCACTCCCATCTTTAAAAAGGGTTCCAGAGGAGATCCTGGAAATTACAGGCCAGTCAGTCTGACGTCGATACCGGGTAAATTGGTGGAAAACATTATTAAGGAAAGAATTAGTAGGCACAAAGATGAACAAAACCTATTGAGACAGACTCAGCATGGGTTCTGTACGGGAAGATCTTGTCTCACTAACCTGTTAGTGTTCTTTTAGGGAGTGAACAAACATGTGGACAAGGGGGATCCAATAGATATTGTTTACCTTGACTTCCAGAAAGCTTTTGATAAAGTTCCTCATCAAAGGCTCCTAAGTAAGCTCAAAAATCATGGGATAAAAGGACAAGTCCTTTTATGGATCAAAAACTGGCTAATTAATAGAAAACAGAGAGTAAGTATAAATGGGCAATTTTCTCAGTGGAGGGTGGTAAGCAGTGGGGTACCACAGGGATCAGTACTTGGTCCACTGCTTTTTAACTTGTTCATTAATGATTTGGAGTTGGGAGTAAGCAGTGAAGTGGCTAAATTTGCGGATGATACGAAGTTGTTCAGGGTGGTGAAAATCAGTGAGGATTGTGAGGCACTCCAAAGGGATCTGTCAAAGATGGGCGAGTGGGCGTCAACATGGCAAATGGGGTTCAATGTGGCCAAGTGCAAGGTGATGCACATTGGAGCCAAAAATCCTAAATATAAATACACGTTGATGGGGTCTGAACTGGCAGAGACTGATCAAGAGAGAGATCTTGGAGTCGTAGTAGATAACTCACTGAAAATGTCAAGACAGTGTGTGACTGCAATAAAGAAGGCCAATGCTATGCTGGGGATTATTAGGAAGGGTATTGAAAACAGATCAGCCAATATAATAATGCCCCTATATAAATCAATGGTGAGACCTCATTTGGAATACTGTGTGCAGTTCTGGGCACCACACCTTAAAAAGGATATTATAGCTTTGGAAAAAGTGCAGAAAAGGGCAACTCGAATGATAAAAGGGTTGGAACACTTTCCCTATGAGGAACGGTTAAGGCGCTTAGGGCTCTTTAGCTTGGAGAAACGACGACTGAGGGGTGACATGATTGAGGTTTATAAGATTATGCATGGGAAAGAGCAGGTAGAGAAAGAGGTACTTTTCTCCCTTTCTTACAATACAAGAACTCGTGGGCACTCCATGAAATTGCTGAGCGGTCGGGTTAGAACAGATAAAAGGAAGTACTTCTTCACTCAAAGAGTGATTAACACTTGGAATTCACTGCCACAGGAAGTGGTGGCGGCTACAAGCATGGACAGCTTCAAAAGGGAATTCGATAAGCATATGGAGCAGAGGTCCATCAGTGGCTATTAGCCACAAGGTATAGATAGGGACTCTGGGGCAAGTGATGCTCTGTCTTCTTGGTGCTTGGGGGGGTCAACAGTGGGAGGGCTTCTAGTGTCCTGGCCCCACTGGTGGACCTCCTGATGGCACTGGTATTTCTGGCCACTGTGTGATACAGAGTGTTGGACTGGATGGGCCTTTGGCCTGATCCAACATTGGCGTCTCTTATGTTCTTATGTTCTTAATTGGAAGATGTTCCAATACAGCAACTGTGCATTTGGCACCTGACATGTGACTTTCACCTTTTGAGGCCTCACAAACATCTGTGTCATGTGTCTTTAGATTTTGCTGCTTAACCTTCCTCTTCCTAGTCCATTATTCATTTATTGGTTATCTTATTGCAATATGTATTTAAGTTACATGTACCTCAATATTGTTTGACCTCTGAAGAAGGCCCCAGTAGGGCAGAAACGTGTCAGGTCACGTGTATTGGCCCTTGTGTTTAGGCTATAGTTTTTTACAAGGCTTTCATTGGGCCCTTACGTATGTTTTTAACTGTCTTTCTAATAAATATTTATATTTTTGTAGATTATAAGTTTTAACTAGGTTTTTAATATTGGCCCTTCATTACACTTTCTTCTCACCCTTTTGGTTCTTGGTAACAGACCTCGCCATTTTTCTCTAGCAGGTGGATGACTGGCTGTTTTAGGGCATAAAGAAAGATGCCCTGGGACAATGACAGATTCATAATGTATCTTGGGGGTTCTTTGACTCTT